AAAATTTATCCCAAGGATTGTCGATCTGAACGATGCATCGTTTATTTTTCTTAAAACTCTCCTTGTTGACCATCAGGTGTTTGGTATTCTGTCCACCACTGCCTTCTGGATATTTGACATGAAACATGTCGAATTCCATAGACCCGTCTCCCAGTTTAAAATCTTTCTTGGATTGTTGCACGGCTTCTATTTTGTCTAAAATGACGTCCTCGTTGAAATGTTTACATTGAGTAAACTCGTACCAAATGTCGGAATCCAGAGAAGGGTGGTGAATGTTCAGGCGTACATAATCGTTAGGGTTACACTGCATTTGATATTTGACATTCTGTAGCATGTCTCTAAATAATCGCCGAACAAAGCCTCTGTTTTCCTCCTCTGGAAATTCTTTAAAATTCACACTGTAGACATCTTCTTTAGCTTTAAATTTTCTGGAATGCTTAGCTTTATTGAGTCTCACTTGGTAATACTGGGAAATGGTCTTTGGCTTCGGTGGTGGTGGTGGTGAATGAGGTGGTGACGAAGACGGAGAAGGTTCTTCTTCAGGTAGATTCCTTAAAACTTGTAGATGTTGAGCTCGGTTGGCTTTGGCTCTCTTTAATCTTTCCATTAATCTCGCATTTTTTTTCCTGAGAACTAATTCTCTGGTTCTCTGTCGAGAAATAATTCTTTCTAATTCTTTCTCCCGTTTTTTCCATCTCATAAGTTGTTGTGCATGTAACAATTGTTTCAAGGCACTATCAAAATTCATCTTGATAGATCTGACAACAAAATGAGCTGAAAGTCGGAGAAAAGCTGTATTTATAGAGTGTATGACGTCACAATGCCTAGGTAGCTCGATGATCCAAGACTAAGTATTGAGACGTACACAGTACGTACAAAAGGGTATATAAAGCAGAACTGGAAATTTTAGGATCAGTCTTAGTGGGCATTTGTTACTAGACAGACGTAAAAATATGGCAGAGGAAAAGTCCATGAATTCACCTCCACTCATACCAGAGACACAGGATAGTATTGAAGGAAATGAAAGAAGTTTGATATGTGATATCTTAGATCAAATGACCAATGTAATGGAGATACTTCAACAGACTATTTGTGAGTTTAAAGAAGACATGATTACTGAGATTCGTGTGTTTAGAGGAGTGATAATGAATGAGATTGGAAATCTAGAAAAGAAAATAGAGACAAGTCAGGATCAAAAGCAGATTAACAACAAGAGGAAACTTCCTGCTACTACCCAGACGGAGAAGACCCTGAAACTCCAGAAGAAAAAGTAAATATGTACATTTTTTACTTTGAATAAATCATCTTACACACTTTTTTACTGTGTTATTGTTTTTTCCGTTGTCAGAAAATAGAGCTCTGTGTGAATGACACACATGACGTCACAATGGTATACTTGAATCCATGCCAAGATTGTGTATTGCCTAGACCTGACTCAGCACAATACGTAGATCAAACGTAGACCCCCCTTTGAATGTACTCAGTTGACCCGGCCATCCAGGATCTGGGGGGACAAAAGTGCACTCAGTTGACCCGGCCATCCAGGATCTGGGGGGACAAAAGTGCACTCAGTTGACCCGGCCATCCAGGATCTGGGGGGACAAAAGTGCACTCAGTTGACCCGGCCATCCAGGCTCCTTATACTACTCCTATAGTTAGTGGGAAAATAATTCAAATTATGTATATAATTTTTTCAATTTCATTTTAACATTATTTTCTTATTTTCAAGTTTGTTACGATTTCGATCAGACATACGGAGATATAAAGAAATGTAAACACCGTATAAAAATCTGATTACGACGACAAAATAGATTTTGTCATCAAGGAAGCGAGCATACGTTAAATTTTGTTTAGCTCTGTGGTGAACTCTTCTCCAGACTAAACGACCTCCGAAACCATTAACAAGGCAAAAAAAAAGTCCAAGAGTTTGTATTTTCATTGGTATATTTTTTTTCTTTACAAATAATTCATCCAGAGTAAAAACAAAGGCTCTGGACGACAATCGTTTATTTCGGACTAAATAACGTTGACCCGAGGTACAAAAATCGGTACTGCATAATACTAAGTCAAACTGTACATGACACTTCGTGTACTTTTACATTGATGCAACAACAACACACATTTGATTTGATTCTTGTAAATAATCGTTTTAGAAAAGAGAATGTTTTATTTCTATAATGTTACATGTGATTACAGAAAAAACAAGAAGTCTGTAATTCAGTGCTCATTAGTAATACCCCCGCTCTGATGTGAATATACCCTCTCAAGAATCCCATCATATGCATACCTAAACAAAGAGTGTGCTAAAATTTCAAGCATCTGTCTTGAGTAGTTGCTGAGAAAACTGTGACAGAAATTTGGTATGGACAGACGCACGGAAAAACAGGAAGTTGACATCAGATTTATACAAAAATGAATCCCGCCATATGACATGCCTAGACAAAGAGTGTGCTAAAATTTTAAGCATCTACGATGAGTAGTTGCTGATGAAACGGGGACGAAAATTTGTTACGGAGAGACACACCGACACACAGACAGACACACAAGGGTTAAACAATATACCCCCTCTCCTTCGGAGCAAGGTATAATAAAAGTAAACGCTTCCCGATCGATTCAAAACGAGAAAAAGTTTACGGCTGGCTTGACGTTAAAATGACGTAGCCATGCTGCTCCAGGTCATCAGACATATGCAAGTTTATAATTTCTCCGGGACTCATCTAATGATACTATTAATAAGAATTTATTTTTACATTTGTTTTATTTGTTCTTGATAAAATGATGAAAAAAAAATTATGAATTTATCTCTTTCCTTTATGGAGTAAAAGGAAATGCCTAAATAATTTCCAAACAGTCCTGGTATGTCAAAAATTTAAATCAAGCATGATTTAAGAAAGAACAAAGTCTTATGCCTTTGAATGGTTTTCTGTATTCAAAACAGACGTCTTCATTAGTATTAAAGCTTTGATGAAAAATTTTTAAAATATGTATGCATATTGTTGTAAATAATTTTTTTCTACAAGCATGACATTTTTTCTTAAAAATTTTATTGCAATTTTCATCTGAAAATCAGCTACATCCGAAGCATTGTTTCCTCCCAATATGAATGTCTTAACGTCGAGAAAACAATGAAAATTAAGAAAATTAGACATGTTCTGTATGTATTTAGTAAATATTTATTTTCAAACAGTAAGGAACAAAAACGTTAACTAACTTTCAAGTATCAAACTTTATTTCATCAAAATAAATGAAAACTTAGAATGATCTTTTCATAGTTGCTGTAAAATTCTTAAATCGTATATAATTACATCACTAGTAAATTAAAAATTATATCTTGTCCTAAATAACATTTCAACCAGTTAAATTTTAAGGGAAAAAAATCACATCGTGATTTTTTTTACCAATCACAACAAAGGATGTACCAGTTCGAAGATTGTAAAACAATTTATTTCTGAATATTATTTTTCAGGATATGGAATGTACTTGAACAATATCAGTTCGTTTTGTATTAGATTTTTAAGGAAGCTCTAAACACTGCACACCAAAGAGTTCTAATTGTAGGGTGAGTTAGAGTGATCTGCCCTTAGAAGAAAAATAGAATAAATGGGAATGTACAGTTAATGACACAACTTCTTATGAATTAAAGTATTCTTAATGTTACATTTGACCAAGATTAAGTAATTGAATACATTATTTCCATTAATTTTCCCGATGAAAGTAAACAACAGTGATTTCTGTTCACAAATAGTTCATTGTCTTTGAACATGTTTTCTGCAGAAATAAGACAGGCACCCTATGTTGAAAATGAACTAGATACACTGAATATGTGCACCTTTACATGATATATTTTTCTCAAAGTCCAAAAAGTATTTTTCATTAGTGTTTAGAGCTTCCTTAAAGTCAAGTTCTCTAGAAAGTATGGACGTATTGAAAAACTCTGACAATATTTTTCACTCTTTCTTTAATGATCAATTGTGTGTGTGTGTGTGTGTATATATATATATATATATATATATATATATATATATATATATATATATATATATATATATATATATATATATATATAAGATAGAGAGAGAAAGAGACACAGAGAGAGAGAGAGAGAATATTAAGTCCAAATGATTAATAGTTATTTTGATATATAACAATTTATTCCAAGTTTCTTGTGTTTGATTTTTGACAAAAGCTTTTTTCTATGAAAAAGCCCAAATGTCTGTCCGATCAAAACATAAAGTGGGGGTGGGGTGGGGTTGCACAATGGTACTACATGTATGTAATTAAGATTTTGTGAAAGTATCTTTAAATTTTATTCAGCGGTCTAGGAGAAGTTGTGGATGAGAAATGCTTACATCTGATATTATTGAAAGAATGGAAGTGTTTATGTATTGCTTTGGGAAGCCTGAAATATTTGTCAAATGAAAAGGAAAAGAGGAGGAACATAATGGTACTGTATAATAAAGTTTTTGTAAACAGTATCATTAAATTTTATTTAGTTGTAAAGGAAGAGTTGTGGATAAGAGATGGGAACCCCCGATTTTATAAACAGAATGACAGTGTCCATATTTTGCTAAGGAAAACCCAAAGTATGTGCCCGATCAAAACGTAAAATAGGACATTCACAATGGCATTATGTAATTATAAAGATTACGTGAAAGTACCATTCAATTTTATTCAGATGTACATGTATAGGAGGAGTTGCGGATAAGAGATTGGCACCTTCAATATTATAGAAAGAATAACATGGTCAATGTTTTGCTAAGGGAAACCCGAAATATATGTCCGATCGAAAAGTAAAATATAAAGTGCACAATGGCACTATGCAACAAAGATTCTGTGAAAGTCTCATTAAATTTTATTCAGTTTTATAAGAGGAGTTTCAGATAAGAAATGGGTACCCCAAAGCATAACATACGGACGTACAGACAGACGGACGGACAGACTTCTCATTACTATATAACCCCGCTTTTCAAGCGGGGGGATATGATAAAATATACACTTACCAAATTCCACATGTCTTTCCACATGGGATCAGCAGTCCGCGGATAATTTTTATGAAGATCCTGATACTCTATACTTTTTATCTGGAATTAAAATGCTTGGAATTAAGTACACTTGTTCTGCATTCTTTCCGAATAGCACCCGTGTGTTTAAAACAATTCATAAATTTTACATTGATACACTATACCTTATCCTTAAACTGGTCAGCAATCTCTTCGATATTCATTTTGTCATTGCTTTCTGGGCAAGTTATCAGGTAATACACACTTGTTACCTAATTAAATTCAAATAATCAATTTAAAGTCAGACAACGAATGTTATTATTTTCTCTGGAAATGAAATGTATTTACTGTATGTTATTCGTTAATTCATGAAATACATTTATGAATGAATTAAATTTATAAGTGATATACCCACTTGCTTAATAAAAGTACACCCTGAATGACTGGAAAACTCCTGGACAATATCCATAGAACTAGACATCACTGCATATTCGTTTATATGGAGACTACATGTAGAGCTAAAAAAATCAAGGAAAATAGAAAGCAATATAGATGATCCAAAATGCATTTTCGTTGTGGTATTTAAATCAATTTAAAATATTTTATATAGCTCTACTGGCTCGAAACAAGGCATTGATTTTTTATTCTATTTTCGAGTTGAATTAAATTTTAAAGTCTAAACGTTTTTTCTTTCTTTGAGTAACAATTTTTTTTTATAGAAAACATCAATATATTTGTTATTTACACCTTTGGTTTTTTTTTTTATTCTCATGAACAACATCTCTTCATCCTGCAAACAATGTGCCAAATTACAACTTATTTCGTACCTTAAACATGAAAGATAAAATATTCCAATGAATTTTTTTTCTGATAGGTTTAAACTTTTATCAATTCTAGTCTCGACATGATAAACACAGACTTAAGAAACAAAACATTGTCTTTTATTAGGGTTAGAAAAATGATCATTTATTAAAGAAGTTCCTGTAAACACGATTCTTAAAAGAAGTAGCAGCCTATTCAGTTGGTTAATGAAATGGCATTTTGTATCTCTAAAAAGTGTCTTTCCTTTACTTCTTCTTCTTTTTTTTAAATATATATAACACTTATTTCTGCAATAAAAGACGATATTTATGTACTTCAATTTAATACATAAAAGTTTATTTCGTTTCTCTAAAAGTCTTTTTCATTTTTTTCTTCTTTTTTTTTATTTACAACACTGATTTCTGCAATAAAAGACGATATCTGCGTACATCAGAATAATATCAACCTAGTTTGTCAATAGAGTAGAGGATAATTGTAGTTTGCTACATCACAGTAAATTGCATGTTTGTAATGTTATGGTTTACTAAATGTTGACATTGGGTCATTTAAATAGGTAAGATATTCAGCTTTATGGACAAGAAGTCAAAGATTTTAGACTTCCTTTTCTAGGGATTTCCAGATTGTATTTAAAACAATAACCAGTACACCCCTAGTGATAAGTAGTGATAAAGACAGTTACCTATGTGATAAGTGCAGAAATAACACTTCAAAGTGATAACTACTGAAAACGACCCCAAAATGCCATGCCAGGCAATTAACTGCTATCTTTTTTTGTTTATTAATAGGAATCGAGAATGTGAACTTCTGCCATGTATACAGAATAATTTAGCATAATTTAAGCACTTTGCATTAAAACATAGGAAACTTCATTGAACTGTTGTTAGGTTAAGTTACACATGAAATGCTAGGATAAACAAGAAAAAAAACATGCACCTTGTAAGAAAAAATTATAATTTTATGGGCTTTTTAAGAGTAACACCGCTTTTAGACTCGATGTGCTCATTGACCATGATCGATTTCATATATTATGGTATCTACAGCTTAAACCTGCTTAACGTGTACAATCCGGACTTTGATTTGAATTTGAAATTAACCTAAGCAAGTGTAAAAAAGAGTTTCTTTCTCGTTTAACGTAAAAAAATAGTTTGTGCACGGATCATTTCCGACCTCTTTAAATGACATCATTAAATCATACTGGATTTCTTTCAGACATTCAACATTCCGTTAAAATAAATATTTTTACATTCATATATTTTGAAATAAAAATAAAAAAATTGATAAAGATAAAAATAAACATAATGAATTAATAACATCATTTCTGTGTTTGCGTTATTTAATATACAGTGCACGTTATGCATTTATTTTATGTACATCCCAAATATTTTTTTCCCAGAGATAACTTCAATATCTGCATTGACTATTGGCAGATCTGCCTTCTCTATAAGGTATATAAGGTTTTCCTTGCTCACTCCTGGAATCGTCTCGATGAAAATGTCCCCCCCCCCTTTTAACCAACTTGATATGTATGACCATGTAGAGGACAAGCAGCACTTCAAATACAGCTATAGGTCTATACATGTACAATCAAAATTCAAAGGTAATAACAGTGCTAGATGAACCGAAAGTTATATATGCTAAACAAATTTGCACAAAATATATGTTACACATGAAAATGTTTTAAACATTATTTGCATGGTCTGTGTATGATATACCTGGCATGTACACATTTTCAAACTTATTCTGTTCTTCATCTTCATTTCGTAGCCTAGGGCACACGTACGTACATTGTTGTGCGCATTAAAACAGGTAATGTTACTGGAAACTAAGTTATAATGTCTAAAAACATCACAAATACTCATTGAACTGTCACAAATTATTCAATTCTAGGAATATTATATTGCATAAATAATGTATTTAAAAAAACGGAATGGCTACACATACCCACCCTTACACACACATACACACACACATACAGAGAGAGAGAGAGAGAGAGAGAGAGAGAGAGAGAGAGAGAGAGAGAGAGAGAGAAAACAAACAACTCTTTTATAGTGGTTTCTTTAGTAGACCTTTATTCAGGTGATTACAAATATTAAAATGTTAGGTGAATATCACTTAAACTTCTCCTATTAAAGGAAAGGTTTCGCTTTGATTATAGTCCTTGATCTGGATTGGGCCTTATATCCCTTATGTCTGATTACCAGAACACAAACTCCAAACAAGGCGAAGGTCGCTAGTCCGGCAAAAATGGCCAGGATCACCAGTATATACTTAGCATCTGAGGACAACCAATCAGATGAGGTAGACGATGTGCTGGACGAATCGCTTTCTACAAAGAATGACCAAGATAACAAAATGAAAAGATCTAGATCTACAGAAATATGATTTAAGGGATTTTTGTTTTTATTATGTTTTTTACTACTTTTTTTTTTATTTATGATACTCAACAGTATACAAAGTAAGCAGGCCATAGATTATCGATTGAAAATATTAGGTTTACAGTTAACTACTATTTCTTAACAACAGTTTTAATATTAGATGATCAACATGTACTGGTCCAAGCTGACAAAGCAAGTATCAACATTCCATTCTTTGTAAGGCTTGTTAGAACAACTGTATTTTAGAGGAATGAAATATATGGAGATAACGAACAGTACTCAAGCTCAGAAGTCCATTAAACAATACAAAATAGGAGCATAGCAAACACGGACCTCCAAACATCAGAGGTGGGATCAGGTGCCAAATCCGTCGACAATTCAGTGTGTAAATAATGGCCTAACAATTAGTATGAAAAACGTCAGTCAGCATTTGACTCAATGGTAAATTGTATTTGCTGACAAGGTCATTGTATCGACCATAGAACTTACGAAATGATAACTTTAAACGAGATAGCTGATATTCTTGTTTCATCAAAATGTTTGTCAATAATTTACCTCGTTTTAGAAATTGTACATACGTAGAGCATGCTCTTGCGTATCGAATCAACTGAAAGATATATACCCCGTATGCAGGTGATGAAGGTATATTGCTGCATAAGTAAGGGAAGCTGACGATTGAAAAGTTAAAGTCATCACGTTTATCACGTTTATCATAAACCTTGGTTGTTAGATTACCATTAGCGTCTTTTTCAAGTAAAATATCCAAATATGAAACAGATGTGTCAGACTCTGTGGTATCTTTTATCTCAAGCTCACCAGGATATATCGCATCGACATAAGAATGGAAATAGCCATTGTTAATTGACAATACGATATATCTAAATGTCGAGTTGAAGGCCAAAACAAGTGTTTTCTTCTTTTCACGTACAAGATTTTGGACAAATTCTGCGTCATATGAATACAAAAAAAGGTCTGCTAATAACGGGGCGCAATTGGTACCCATGGGAATTCCAATAGATTGTTGGAAGACCTGGTCTCCAAAAACCACATAGATATTGTCAATCAGAAACTCAAGCATCTTTTTAATGTCAACTTCAGAGTACTTGTGTGTACAATCAGAATGTTTTTTAACAAAATAATTTTGCAAATGACCAATGACAAGGTAAGTATTTTACGAGTTCCATTTTTATTGAAAAAGCAGCTGTCAATAATATCAAAAAGCCTGGACTTTAATTTGTCGTGGGGAATGGTTGTGTATTAAGTTGAAAAGTCGTAAGTTTTTAAGCTGTTGATTTTGGTAAAAATCTTGTGATTTCAAATTTTCCAAAAGTTCCTTGGAATTTTTAAGTATCCACATCTGATTTACACCACTTCTCGAATATATTGTTGCACAGTACTCTTGAAGTTTCTCCTTCACCACTGTTAATATCTTAGTGAGGAGTAAAGAAAGAGGCTTGGTTGAACATTTACTGGAACCCGCTATGTATCTTTGTTTGTAAGGATTTTTATGAAGTTTCGGAATCCAATATAAATATGGTAATTCAAATTCATTTTGGTTATTTGGAATATTCAAAATATTCAAAACTGACATATGATTTTGAAGAATTTTTTCCTTAGAAAGGGAACTATGAGTATAAGTTGGATTAGGAACTCTGATTTAATTCTACAAATGGCAATCCAACTTATACTCATATCTCTTTTTTCTAAGGAGAAAAATCTTCAAAATCATACGTCACTTTTGAATATTTTTATTATTCCCAATTGCAAAAAACCAAATTGAATTTGAATTACCATACCCATACTGGATTGATTGTTTGTTGTTTTACGTCCTATTCGAGAATTTTTCACTCATATAGAGAAGTCACTATATACCGGTGAAGGCCTTCAAATTTGGATCTTTACTCGGCACTCAGGGCCATTGAGCAATGAGGGATCTTTATCGTGCCAACGCCTGTCGTGTCACGGGGCCTCGGTTTCTTATCCGAAGGACCAGCAACTTTCACTTCAAAGTGCCGAGCGCTTGGCAAAGGAACAGTTGCTACCTATTTTTTATCGACATAGGTAAGTTGCGGCCGGGGCTCGAACCCAAGACCTCCCGATTACGGAGCAAGCGCTCTGCCAAATGAGCTACCGTGACGATCCTACCCATACTGGATTCCTAACCATAAAAAGATGTTCTACCTAGCCTTTTTCTTTACTCTTCATGAAAACATTAACAGCAGTGAGGGAGAGACTTGGGGTACTGTACAACAACATAATTGAGGAACTTTTAGAAAGTTTGAAATCACAAACTTTTATCAAAATTATAATAGATTAAAAATTTACGACTTTTCAACTCTTTATACAACCATTCCTCGTGATAAATTAAAGAACAGGATTTTTGACATTGTAGACAACTGGTTTTTTTAAAAATAAAAATATAGAATACTTTAATCAAAATACTTTGTCATTGGTCATCTGCAAACTTATATTGTAAAAAAAATATGATTCTACAAACAAGTACTCCTAAAATGATACATGTATTAAAAAGATGCTTGAGTTTCTGATTAACGATATTTATATAGTTTTGGAGACCAGATCTTCCAACAAGTGGTTGAAATTCTCATGGATGCTAATTGTGCCCCGTTATTAGCAGAGCAGTTTCTGTATTCACATAAAGCAAAATTTATTCAAAAACTTCTACACAAAAAGAAATCTCTTGGTGTGGCCTTTAATTCGACATTAAGATATATTGACCTTTCATCAATTAACAATATTCATTTTTATTCCTACGTTGATTCGATATATCCCATTGAACTTGAAGTAAAAGACACCACAGAGTCTGACACTTCTGTCTCACATTAAGTTATTTTACTTCAAAAAGACATTGATGAAAGAGTTACGTAATGTAATGCTATGTAAACGAGATGACTTCAATTTTCCAATCGTCAACTCCCCTTATTTCTGACCGTCACGGTAGCTCAGTCGGTAGAGCGCTCGCTCCGTGATCGGAAGGTCATGTGTTCAAATCACGGCAGCGACTGACTTAAGTCGATAAAAAAAATAGTAAGCAAATGTTCCTTCGCCAAGCACTTGACACTTTGAAGTGAAAGTTGCGGGTCTTTCGGATGAGACCTTAAAAACCGAGGCCCCGTGTAACGGTAGGCGTTGGCACGATAAAGAACCCTCACTGCTCAATGGCCGTAAGTGCTGAGTAGAGGTCTGATTTAATTTGAAGCCCTTCACCGGTATATGGTGACGTCTCTACATGAGTGAAAAATCTCGAACCGGACGTAAAACAACATACAATCAATCCCTCATTTCTGTAACAATATACCATTATCACCTGCATATATGGCGATAATGTCACCCAGTTGATTCGATACAGCATGTTTTACTTACGAGCAATTTCTAAAATGACTCATTAAGATTTCGAAAAATACAATTGTCATGTAAGTTGATGATACGTGTGTATTAGCAATCTCGTTTGAAGTCAATATTTCGCAAAATCTATGTTTGATATAATGACCTTGTTAACAAATACAATCTATCGTTAAGTCAAATGTTGGCTGACGTTCTGCATTCTAATTATTAGGTCGTTATTGTCACACTGATTTTTGCGGCTACCGATCAAGACAAGGATCACAATGCTGGTGTTAGCGGTCGACAGGAGATGCTTATTAAAAGCTTCCATGGCATCTGATCACACCTCTAATGTTTCTAGAGGTATGTATGTTTGCTCTGCTCACAATATGCACTGTTTCAATGATTTTTGAGCTTGTTTATTGTTCCCATATTTCACAAGCTATGATTGTAACAGTACAAACATAAATAATTATTTTACTAAATATATAAACAAAAGAAAGATCTTCTTGAGGACGAAACATTTTCACATAAATTTGTAATTAAGAATGCATAAACTAGGATGAATTTTTAAACCTAATCGAAAATAATATTTAAAATACTAAAATATAAACATAATAAAATATTTTAATAATCTTTTTTCATTTAGTGCAACTCCGATACCTGATGTTATTCTGATGTTTAAAGAGGTTCGCTCCTGGGCTTTTGAGCAGATTTTTGTCTTGACATATATTTCAGAAATTCTGCAGAATATTTTAGTTCTTACAATAAATTTGGATTCTACAATGCCAATTTAACTATATTCAGTTTAATCCCCACGATTAAATTCCATACCAAAAGCATTAAGTGAGGAACTACATTTTGTGGCGGAAGGTTTTTTTAAAGAAGAAAATGATCATTTTTTCTCCTCCGAAGTATTTAAAGTATTGTTAAGCATAGATTCCTATTTTTTCATGCAGCCTGCGTGCACACAGAGTTATTTTGTGCCGTGAACTGTTTAATGCTGATCCTAAATTATGTTGTAAATAATCTGTCATGAATTCTATCATCATATTTGACAAATTAAGCAAATATATTGTGAAAATCCAGAAAAATTGTCACATCTACAAGTTACCCTATCCATATTTTAAAAGTACCTAAAATGTAATGAGTTTATGGAGCCTGATTTTATAGGAAACTGTCGTTTTTTTGGACCTCCCCGCATAAAATATGAGGAGTTCTGGGAACCAGGCGTATGTAGGGAAAAAAACTGTGTTTTTGACCCATATTTGACCCTAGGATGAAAATGAAAATTCTCAAAACCTTATTGTAAATCTACATAATACCAGCACTCACATAAAAAAAACAAGATCTGATTTCTGCCTAAAATATGAAAGGAGTTATTGGAACCATACTATTGAAGGGAAACGTCGTTTATGGCCCCTATGTAGCCGTAGAGTGAAAATGAAAACTCCAAAAACTTATTACACATCTAGAGGACACCACCATTCATATCTCAAAACTTAGGAGAAGTTGAGGGAAAAAGATATGTCCAGGATAACAACATTCCCCTTACTTTTTTTTTTTTAGAGAGTAAGAGAGTATGGGTATAATGACAGGTTTTTTTTATGAACAATTCATATTTATGAAACATAATGTAGAAATGTAAAATGTGGATGGCCTCATATACAGAGCCTTCAATGAATTGTTCCGCTAATATTATAAATGTATAAATGAGCATTAAGTGTAATTTTAGGTTCTTTCGAGGAGTTCTATTTGTAATACAAATATTCTTAATTACCTAGTATCTGAACTGTCAAAACTTTCGGCCCAACTAGATTTTTTCCATCGTAGACATAAATATACAGGTCAAAACCCGGTTCTGTAACGTTGACTACATTACTCTCAGTTAGCACTGCACCAGCTATGAAATCAAACGAAAGTGTGTGAATAACATTGCTTTTCATTTCTTACATAAATAAATTTACCAAATATATATTTATATAGTTTTACAGTTGTCGTTTATGAAATTACATACATATTTATGTACATGGAAAATATCAGTACATTAACGTTTTTAGAATCTTGAGAATATAAAAAACATCAATTTACGCATCAGTATTTACTATGACTTTGCCCTCAGCATATCCATACTGGAAAAAAACCTTTACATACTTAGTCTATTATATTGCAACAAGCAGTTACGTACAACTAAATATCTTGAAAGGACAAGAAGCTGGTAAACATGTCATATTGTAGTACAGCTGGGCAGCTTCTTTGTCTGTGGACGATACCGTGAATATAGACGTCCCTGTAACCGTGGAGGGTGAAACAGTCACACCTAAAATAAATTTACTCTTGAGAAATTTACAGAGTAGAATTTTAAACTTAAAAACATTTAACAAAAATTGATTTTTTTCACATAGTCATGATAGTAGAAAAACAAATTAACAAAAAGTTTTCATATCAGGCCTAATTTCAATAAAATGTTAAGAAAATATGTTTTCTTTTTTCATTCTACACCGGTGTTTACTTCAAGCTAAATGAATGATATGTATTTTCTTTCACAAATGGAAAAATCGAATTTTTTAAGGTTTCAAAAAAGTGTGTTTAACCTTTAATTAAAATAATTTGACTGATTATGATTCTTAATCATATGTAAAGAACACGAACAATGTTATTATTTCCTGAAAAGTATATGTTTTTTTTTTTGTTTTTTAAAACTAAGTTCATATGTAGTTGAATAACAGACAAAAATAAAGCATATTCATTTAATTTCAACTTTGAAGAACATAAGGTTTATATAAATTCTAGTTCATAATATTATTTATAAGTTAAAATAAAATGTTAGAAGAAATTGGATGACAAAGAACAGCCCACAAATAAATAGTGCCAATGTTAGGAAGTGTCCGCTCGTCTTAAATACTTAAAGGTAAGCTTTCAAAACTTTTCTCCAGTTCTTCGAAGTCCTTATTGAAGGCTTTGTTATGGATCATAGACATATCATCATCATCAAAATATTCACCAAATGTTGAACAGTGTTTTACAACTGAATCATTTATGTGTTACTTACTTGCTGGCAGATTAGATATAACAGGTGGTTCATTCTTTGTCACATACACGACGAATGTACTGTTCACAGCGTCTTTAGTGTCGGTGCATTGTATTGTCATCAAATACTCCCTGGTGGTATCATAATCAAGAGTGGCAGCCGCACGAAGATATATTGAATACCCTAAAGTATTATATACCTTAAAGGCATGTTCAGTAAAATTGGTGGATGACTGAGAACATTAAACATGTAATTTTATTGTGTATATTTGATATACATGTTATCTTACTAGAATTTCCTATAGAATAATACAGGTAGAGATCATTTGTGTTAGGACTGATGGTTGACGAACACGTAACAGTGTCTCCTACTGTCGGATCAGTTACCGTCAGAATGTACAACTCCGTTTCTTCCAATAGATCTTCGCTTACTTCCGTAGTGTTTGGAAGGTTTTGAAAAACTGGAGGCTAAAAGGATAGTATATGTATTTATTTTTTTTTTCTTGGGGGGGGGGGGGGTAAAAGATCATCATAAAAGGAATCATACATGTACATATAGATTGCGAGATTGCAATGGAAAGTGTCAATACCTTGTTTGTAACAGTTAAAGTAAACGTGGATGAGTCTGTATTACCACACTGATCAGTCACTGAGAATGTAAACGTTGTAGTCCCGGCACTCACTGTAGCAACAGTGGTCAAATTTCCTATTAAAACATCATAAATTTTCAATCTTAAAACATCATAAATTTTCAATCTTAAAACATCATAAATTTTCAATCAGCCTTAATTCTTATTTTTGGTAAGCAAATATTGTTTAAAATCAGGAAACTAACTACCAGAAGAAGTATCAAAGTTGAAGGACGCGGAGGAGGGATTTGTTGACGTCAGTGTATACGTCAGGTTGTCAGAGGCGTCTGCATCTGTTGCTGTCACGGTAAATAACGTTGTTCCTGCAGCAGTGTCATCAGTTACAGAGGACGTCGCCGGAAGATTTGTAAACATAGGACTGTTTCCTGAAAAGAAAATGAGTATAGATAAAATCATGATCTGCATGAAGCAATTCAATAAATATACCATATAGTGGGGTACTAATTTTGGATCGGTCCGATACTACAGCTTCGTTTTTTAAGCACTGAAAAGAAAAATTATTTAATCATTAAAGTGGAGTTATCTTTCCTCCATTTGACCTAACGTCTCGACTAAAAAGAGCATTCGTATATTCTAAAACGATGAAAACTTTTAGTCCCTTTCAATTAATTCAATTGTTTCAAATGTTGTCTAGTTCGGAATATTTTCTTATCCGGCAAATTTCTTTGGAACCAGTGATGCTAGGATTCGAAAAATTCACTGCACGAATACTCTTCCTGAAGGTGAACTTTCTCTGCTTGAATTTGCCAGTATTCCACATTAGAATCTCTCTATAACTGATATCCAGGACAATTCTTTATTCTTGTAATTGAAAGTTGTATACAGATTTCGCATATTTAAATGGATTTATATCTACATGTATACAATGTACATGTAGCTTGGTAAAATAGGGTACATTTATAACAGGACATATTTTTTGAGTAAACACAACAACAACAAAATTTTGGACTGTTATTTTTCAATGAAAAATTAAGACAAGCAGTTATAAACATGGGAGCTTTTTTTCCACATGAGACAAAGGAAATCTAGATTGACTACAGTCTCTCAATAACCGATAATTTACATGTTCCTGACCCCTTTTTAGAAAATAATCTTAAATTGAATATAGGTATCGGAAATACTCTTCACATGATTTAAAATTGAATTCCATGAAAATGATGCTTTTCATAAATAATAAATATTGTTACATTAAAAGTTTAATGTTTATCAATTTAAACTTATCTATAACAATCTTTTTTGGTGTCATTTTTACATTTTTGAAAGTTCGAAAATTATTAGCCATTATTGCTGTTTTACAACAAACACATAAGGTCAAATCAGAGTCTGAACTTCCCTCATTCATTTACAACCCTGTTCAATCAACTACCTCATATTCTGATTTTGAATTATTGTTACAAGATTTTTCATGGAATCATGCATCTGTTTTACTATCATCTATTGTGATATCCTTTTTATTTTTTCTTTCTGCATATTTCTGGTTTTCGAAAAGAAAATTAAAATGTACTCAGGTTATTTTTGAAATTACAACAGGTGGTGAATGTGTCCTTATCCCTGTTTTAACATTGCCATTATGTCCATCTTTTTGGAAAATTGTTCCACCTTCTCAAATTCATGATATCTCTGTGAATTTTTCTTTATTTTCATCAAAGATGCATATTGACTGGACTGATTTTTGTGTTACAAATTTGAAAGGTACTAGAACAAGCAGTGTTAAGCCAGAAATAAAACTAAATTTTTATACTGCTTATAAAGCAAAAAGAATTACAGAACAACCTTTTAATGTCCACATTTTAATTTCTCATCATGGGTTATATCAACCATTACCACATTTTGGTTCCTTTATTGTTGATGATGTAAATTTTAAAGAACATTCCCCATAAATGTCAATGTTGACTTTGAATTTGTTAGATTGAGCTTCATTGTCATTGTCACATTTATTTTGCCTACATGTGAATTGAATAAATAGCATCAGTGTTATTTCTAGATATCTGACTGCCATTGTTGAAGATATTTCATTATTAAAAAAATAACAAAACAGGTATTTCTTATGTATGCGTGCCTGTAAATATGTTATCCTACTTGTATATAGACTTTTTTTCCCCATTATCAAGTTGGTCACATAATTGTTTAATTTGTATTTTGCTTTACATGTATGTATCTATAATAAGAAATAGATATATGTAAAAAAAAAAAAAAATCACTTTCTAAGTATTTTCCACAATGTGTTCATTTAGTGATGTTCTCTGACTACTGTATTTGCATATATTTGTATATTTCTTTATATTTTTGTGTTCTGTGTGCATATTGTTTCATATGACAATCCTGCTTTAATTGTAAGTTTGTATATATTATTATATGTTGTCAGTAAAATTCACTTTCTTTTGCTTTGGTGGACCAAAGCTTCTTTTGGCAAGGGGGGAGATTGTTATAGATAAGTTTAAATTGATAAATTTTAAACTTTTAATGTAACAGGTTATATCACATGAATTTTAATTCATGGATTTCTTTTGTTATTTTCAAAATGAAACTTTATTTTTGAATATTGATTTTAAGTCAAATTTCCAAATTACAGGCTAGTAATTTTTATTTCTTTTGTCCATATTTACTCCTATCTTTATTGTAATTTGGCAAATAATACTTAGGTTCAAAGTCAATTTTCACCTATTTTGTAATCAATTAACTTCTCATTGGAGATCAAACATTCATGACATCTCTTAGATAAATAAGTAAATTCTTTCCTTTTTCGGCTTCTTTGGAAATAAATTCTTTTCGGAATTAGTTTGACACTTCGAAATTTCGCTCAGATAAATTTATTTACATGCTTTCGGCTAAACGTAATTTTTTATCTTTCCTTTGTTATGAAACTCTTCTACGGAAATACAGGTAATTGACTCCTCACACCTTCCACTTTTTGTTAATCCAAGTAATCAGTGTCAACTACATCAAAGAAGAATTGCCGAAATTGGCCTAACTCTTTTATAACAAGCTACCTGATTGATTAATGAAATAAGTCCGGTACTGTGCCTCGGTGAAAAGTGAATCTAACAAATTCACTTTCTACCGAGAGGTCTATCAATAAAGATCTATTTGTGTTAAATCGGACATTGTTTCCATTTTTCCAATTAGGTAAGCTTGAATTACTTTTTGACAATATTTATCAAATTAAAAAGTTTTTTTTCTCTCATAATTACTAAAGTTTTTATTCTGATTTTTCTTGATATTTTTGATAGCTCATTTTATTTTTTGTTTTAAATAATTAGAGTGTGAAGTTCATAAATTTCACTTAACATTGTAGCTGTAGAATAATGTTACCTTTATTACGTAATGTGATGTTGAATTATTTTTATATTAACTTTAAAATATCTTGATATCTTTATTTTTGGTTTTGTTCTAAATTCTTTTAAATGAATTAACTGAATGATATTTTGTACGAATTGAATTGTACCGCCTTAATTTAAACGGAGCTCTCTAGTCTGAGAAGTTAGTTAAGCTCGATCAAATATAAACAAGGTTTCTCACAACGGTAAAATTAGTGTGTTTTGTTTTAATATTTCAGTTTATCAAATCTAATGGAATTTATTATAGTAAGCGTTATGCATTATATAATTACTTATACATGCTAATTACATCGTTCTCAGACTAGATTCCGTGATTGATTTGTCAATGTTTTGTTTTAATTGTATGTTCTCATGTTTATAAAACACTTTCTACCGAGAGCTCTATCAATAAAGATCTATTTGTGTTAAATCGGACTTTGTCTCCATTTTTCCAATTAGTTATCCCTGTAGAAGCCGATTGGCAGTTGCAGCACTCCCAGAGTTAATTCCCCGAATTCACCATTCAGTATCACGAAGGAATTTATTCCAGTGTGACAAATTCAGTGTGTGAAAATATTATGTAGCGAGCCGTAAAGTACAAGAAAAAGTAAGGATAAATTAATTATGATGTATAATGAATCTAGCACTAAAAGAGTGTATAAAATTATTTAGGCCTACTAGCAGTAGTTCGTCTTTATATGTCCTTACATGAAAAGGAGCTTCAAATTTTAGTTTGAAAGTGCAACGTCTGGGAACTTTAAGTTAGAAATTAAAAAAATAGAACTGCCCTAAGAAATTGAGAAAGGAAAGCGTCAAATTGTACACCCTCTAAAATAAAGAATAAGGTATTTCCAGTTGAAACGTTTTTAATTGACCGGTTTGAATACAAGTCACTACATACTTTTAAAAATGTAGAAATTGTTATCAAATCTCTAAAGGTGTATAATTCTTTTTATTTATTAAATAAAATCAATGACCCTTGGTCATCAATACTAAACTACGCTTTACTTGTGATTATTTGAAAAAAGCTCTGCTGTCAGTTACCTGGAGACAACTCAGCCTTGATAGCAAACTCAGCATTACTATCAGAATATGTAGAGAACGCGCCGGTGCTCCCCACCACCTCTGTAGCCGTATCAGAGAAAATCACATTATCAGTGGAACTTCCCACGCCCGAATTCGTCCTCATGTAGCCCGGTATAGTATTACCTGATGATTTACTTATAAAAAAGTAAACAAGATATTGTTTTAAGATTACGATGAATTAATCAAATAAATTTAGAAATAGGTACATGTACATTGTATCTGTGAAGCAAAACTAATTATTGTAAACCAAACTTACAATCCTATAAAGTCTCCAGCGTCAACAGATATTTGTTCTGATGTGGATACTTGAAGATTCTTAAGGGAGTTAGAGCTTGTGGCTGAAATGATAAACACAAGGATATGTTGACAGTTTCCATAAATCTGATTATGGTAATAAAGAATATGTTTAAGCCTACATTAAAAACAAAGGTAATGGTGATCACTACTTTATTTCTAAATTAAAAAAAAAAACGATTTAGATATATTAAGAGACAAAAGAAAGGATCAATTTAAATTTGGAAAATAAGTATTTATGAGGTAAAACATATTTAGAAAAAGACATCTCAAAAACATTAAAATGCTTATCAAGGACGTACATAATGTAGCACCGTCTTTCGAAGTGTGTGTGGGGGGGGGGGTATGAGAAGCAAAAATTATCTTTTATAAGAATAATAAGAGCTTTGTGGAAAAGCCGGCAGAAAGTCAATTTCTCCCCCCCCCCCTCCCCCAATAGGTCCCAATACGTTTTTCAAAGAAAAAGAATCTGTATGAAATTAGCAATCAAGGACTATTCTCGGGAAAATGTGAGGGACTAGGTGCCCCTGACCACCCCTCAAATACTACATGCCTATAAACCCGGTATGCTTATAGGATCAGTGGTACACCTATAGTATGGCAGCTGGAACTTCCAATTGAAATTAGGCTTAAAATGGAATAAACAAACGCAAAGTTTCTGTCTTTATTGATTTTCACTCTGGATAACGACATTAAAGAACTGTTTTATGCTATTAATAAAAAAAAAAAGAATTTGTAACATTTAAGTATTTAAAGCAGTCCATGCCATGATATTCCTTCTACTTAGCTCATTCTCTTTGGCATGAAATAGGTGAGGTATCAAGTAAAAAAAAAATTATCTATTGGTATAAACTATTATAAAAATGATAAATAATGAGAATGTTGACCAAAACAAAAAAGTCTTCAGAAGCAATTGTGATCTAAATATACATGTACTCAATGGAGCTTGTTCTTTTTTTTTTTTTTTTATTAATTCAGTCATTAGTGTTTCTGCATTGTATATTTGAAGGAGATCCTTCAATTGGCAATTAATCCTGTGGGGTATTATTTGACCAAAAATCCAAATATTAATCATTAAATTACACAGGATGTCATTGTTTGGCGTACTTTCCCTACTCTGTGAATTTACCTGTTAAAAGTGCATCTTTTCTCTAGAAGAGATGTATATATTAAACTGTAAAATACTTACAGTTGATAACAAAGGAGTTTTGTCCAATAAGAGTCCACACGCCTGAGACATCTCGCCATACTTGAGCATATAGTGTACCATATGTAGTGAGTACGTAAACTTCCCATCCAGAAACAAATCCGCAACAATTAATTTGGTAATCATTGTCTATGGAGTTAAGAATGAAGGTCCTTCCTTTGGAGTACAGAAAGATAAAAATAATTTTAAATTCTTAAAGCGATTAACTGATAATGTAAAAATACACATTTTTTGTGCGAGTGATCTGTCTGTTTGTGTGTGATTAAATTAAGGTCACTTTAAAATCTTCGAAGAAAATGGTCAACAGAAAATATATTTACTTGTTATGATGAATGTTTCATTGATACATTTATCAATACTGCAAAGGTTGAATGAATGGTCTAAAATTTATTCATTTGTTTTGTGTTTATATAATTACTTAGGAATGTCTCTTATTAAAGTTTATAATTGTAATTGACATAGAGGGCCTCAAGAAGAATTATATGATAATATTGTTATTATTACAGTAAAACTCGGTTATAAGGAAGTCACTGGGACAGCGAATTTTGCTTCATTCTTTACATTCGTGTAAAGGACAAAGTGAAAAGTCGTCCACGGTATTCGTCAAAGATTCTTTATAGCTGAAATTTAAATCTCCTTAAATACGTGAGTTCTCTACAGCGGGGTTTTACTGTATTATCTTTACATTAAATTATTATTATGTAATTGTCATTATTTTGTTGTTATTATTATTATTGTTTTGGTTGATAAGAAATACAATACAGTACCTGCACCTGCGTCTGTTCTATCTGGTGTGGTGGATTTACCAGTACTTTGTCCTGCTGAACATGGTGCTGAATGTACTGTAAATAAACTTTTTCTTTTTTTTTTTACTCCGCGTTTCTTGCAGCATATACAGTATATGGCAATAAGTGGGTCATAATCGCATTTTTATATTATATATTTCACTGAAAAACCAACATTTATAAAAAAAAAAAAAAACTTATTGTGAGGTTAATTTTAGTCCAATTTCCATGATTTTTTTTATTGATTCATGCAGAATTGTTCTTTTCTTATCATACAATCTAAAGAGAATGATACACTAATCATTGAGAATGTTTATGAAGTCGTCTAGACAAAAACATCACTATCATTTCTTAACAATTTAGAGTGTTTACATAAAATTATTTTGAAATTATGCGAAGAAACTGAAAAGGATTCTACCTTCAAGGGCGTTTTGGTCTTAAAAAATGAGCAACAAGTAACACTGCAATAATATTTTAGAAAATGCATTTTTCAGTGAAAAAATTATGACTCACTTATGACCAGGTACTGCAGCACGTATGAAATAATCATAATTAATTTGTCGATGGCCAATGTAATGTATATACACAGAAATACAAATTTCATTGTAGTTACATAAAACATGGTCTTAAAGATAACCGAGTTAATTATTTTATATTTGCAGCATTAATCAATCTATAAAAAACAGAGAACTTGAAAAACATAAGCATTTGAATTTACCACTTACGGATATTCTGAGTATTTAGTTGTAATTAAGATGTCCATAAGGCTTATGTAATTGTGAGTTAAAGTTATTTCGAAATAAACATTTTCAGTCGGCAGTTCGTCGTTTTAACATACAAAGTTTTAGTAATTTGATATTTTTGTTGGACATATCAGTTTATATCCAAATGCTTAAAAATGGGTCATTCTATCACGGAATGACACATGATGAAATAAAATCTTACAATTCAAATGGATTTCAAAGACATCAAGAGCTGCTAGAAAACCGGACCGATGGTTATCTAGATTTTGTTGCATAGCGCATATACGAGTATTCTTAATGATAAAACAAAGCTAGGCAAAGCTATTGAATGCGTTCATCTAGAGAAATCTGATATCATGCTTTTTTTTTCAAATGTAAACTGAAAGCATTTAGAAGAGAGACTTTGATTTAAAGCACCAAGATGATCAAGCAGTGTCAACCAGTAAAATATTTTCTAGTTACATGAAAATATAATGATTGGTATTGTTTGTTTTTTTGTTTTGTTTTTTTGTTTTTATAATTACAGACCATTGAAAACCAGTATTTTCTCAAATAGAATTTTCAAGGCTACACCTTGAAAATTAGAAAATTCACAGAAGAAAGCACTACATAAAATCAGAATAAAACAACATAATAAAAAGTGCTGCCTTTTTTCGTTGATTGCTAATTGGATTTCAAAGCAAAGTTTATTACTTTATCTTTATTTATTTTCTGTGTTTGTTCATCCATCTTTAAGATTGAAAATATTAATGTAGGAATGATTTAAAAAAAAAAAAAAAAAGCACCAATTAGTCATATTCACATGCAAACATAGAGTTGTTTGTTCAAATACTGCTTCAATTGATAATCAATTTCTGAACATTGTAATGTTATAAGAAAATTTTAAAACATATTCTTCTAGACAACAGCAATGGCGTATATCTGATTCTCTGTATTGGCATATCCACGTAGCCAGAATCAGGTTTGTTCAAATCGCAGTTCCACTTTTCTTCGATTCGATACAGCTTAATTTCCGCGAAAAAAAAAAATCCTGCTTATCTGCGATTATATATATATATATATTTATTACATTTTCAACAGTGAAATACTGTGATTTATTTATTGAATAAAAGTGATATTCTGTCATAGTGTGAAAGGATACCAAAATGATATTCTCTCACGGTGTGAAAGGATATCAAAGTAAGTAAAAAATAATTTCTGGACTGTCATAAGATATAGTAACTTGATAGAGCTAAAACTGCAAATTTCTTCCCAAATATGTTGCTAAAAGCCATGCTATGTATAATGTTTTCAATCTCAGAACTGCTAAGCTGTGATGTCTCAACCACTCAACTATGACGTTAAGCCTATGAAACTTTGTTAAAGGGGGAGGAAATAAGCACCGCCCTCAATTTTACCTGGTCTGTGAACCCCTGTCAATCAGATGAAATTAAGCCTGAGATTGGATACTGAAAACTGATTGACATTTTGTTACCTGCCGTTGTGTATATCTTGTATACCTCGGCTGGGGATCGTACCGATCATTGAATAAACATTCAGTCTTTGATGCCTACCGCATATAATTTATAACATCGTGATAAAGAAGCAGCCAGAGCTAATATTATTTTTTTTTTAACTTTATGATAAAGTAATTAGCCATATATAATTTATATTTAATCAGTCTGTCAAATAATTAAATAAATGAAAAAGAAAATCAGTCATATATCTATTTAAATTGTAATTAAGAAAGGGGGGTTCATTTCACTATACAATCTATAATGCAGTATAGATTATCCAAATTTACACGTACATCGATTTTACTTAAAACAGAAAATACCGAACTGCATTGGAAGCATCGTGTAATTTAATAAAATAATAATTCCTTTTTTATAATTATGAGATAGTCATATTGTCCAAGTTAAAAATTTTAAGACGTGTAATATTTCTTCGAGACATTGTGATGAAAGTTACGGTAAAATAACCAGTTTTAAAGAGAACTAAGCATTATTATAAAAGCTGTCATTGCATATACAAGTTATGTTTAGAATTATGTATCCCGAGGAAAAAAAGGAGGATAAAGTGATTATATTCCCGTTTCGTCTACCTGTCGGAGAAACAATACGCGGATGCCTTGACCATTTTTTACGGAACATGCATGCGTCATGGGTTAATCAAATAGGAATTATACAAAAAATATTTATCTAATTTATTATATATTTTCTACAAAACTTAGCCTTCAAACAGGATTTCTAAGTTTTAGAGAGTTAATTATTCAGGACTGCGCTTTTTTTTCTACTTTCGTTTTGTGAATGACTATTTCCCTCGGTGTCGCCAGCTTACAACCAAAGATTTGAAATTTATTAAAGCACAAAATTAAACTAAAATTGTCTCCTTTATTAGGTCTTTCCACCTTTCTGTGGAAAGACCTCTTGAAATGCTTATGTTTATTATTATTATTAGGTCTTTCCACCTTTCTGTGGAAAGACCTCTTGAAATGCTTATGTTTATTAGGTCTTTCCACCTTTCTGTGGAAAGACCTATTGATTTTCTTCTGTTTATTATTATTATTAGGTCTTTCCACCTTTCTGTGGAAAGACCTATTGAAATTGTTCTGTTTATTATTATTATTAGGTCTTTCCACCTTTCTGTGGAAAGACCTATTGATTTTCTTCTGTTTATTATTATTATTATTATTATTATTATTCTTCTTCCGCTGATTTTTTGTTTCGATGTTTATCGAAAAGATTATTCATTGACCGTAAAGGTCATAAAAAGTTAGGAACAAATTTGACCCAACGCGTATAACCTATGACCTCTTTCGCAGTTATTGCCCCTTTCGCTAGAAACCTTGTTATCGCTACTCCTCTGAAACCGTAAACCGTAGAGGTACGAAACCTTCACCAATGTCTTCGACTAATTGAGGAGACTCTTCAATCTATTCATTACGAAAGGATTCGTTGAGCCCTTTTATGAGTTATCGCCCCTGAAAGTTTTTGAAGTTTACAATTAATGAAAAATTTTCAAAACGATAAGTCGTAGAGACATGAAACTAACTGCATTAGATTCCTTAACCCTAGACCTTGAAGTTTATGTCAAGGTCAAAGGTCAAGGTCATTCCAAAAAAGAGAAATAAAGCTCTTTTTATAGCTCTTTTATCTTTCAACATATACAGTATATCTTTGCATCTTTAATATGTACTTTTAAAACTATTTCAAAGATTTCAATCTTGTCCCCTTAGCTTAACCCTTTTAAAAGTTATTTCCCCTTGTGCAAAAAACCTTGTTATCGCTACTCCTCTGAAACCGTAAACCGCAGAGACACGAAACCTTCACTAATGTATTCAGTGTCTTTAGACACAACTTCAATCTATTCAGTGCGAAAGTATCCGATGACCCCTTATATGAGTTATCGCCCTTTAACGTCTTTGCGCTTACTAGTAAACCTTATAACTTTAAAGCTAAAAGTGGTAGAAGCATGGGGTTAATTGTAATGTGACCCTTGGCCTTTGACCTTGAATATTTGTTCAAGGTCAAAGGTCAAGGTCATTTCAAAATTTTTAAATTTTCATTTTTTCCATCTCTCAAGCCATTTCTGGTTTCTTTTGTATAAAAATAAAGAGTAGAGAGTTAAATATGAAGAATATATGAAATTTAAAGGTGGAAAGACCTCTAATTGTTCGAGAACAATTAGTCTACTAGTTATTATTATTTTTCTTCCGCTGATTTTTTGTTTCAAGGTTTATCGAAAAGATTTTTTGTTCATCGTAAAAGTCATAAAAAGTTATGAACAAATTTGACCCAACGCATATAACCTATGACCCCTTTCACAGTTATTGCCCCTTTCGCTAGAAACCTTGTTATCGCTACTCCTCCGAAACCTTAAACCGTAGAGGTAGGAAACCTTCACCAATGTCTTCAACTAACTGAGTACTCTCTCCAATCTATTCACTGAAAAAGTATTCGTCGACCCTATTACTGAGTTATTGCCCCTGAAAGTTTTTGAAGTTTACAAATAATGAAAAATTTTCAAAACGATAAGCCGTAGAGACATGAAACTATCTGCATTAGAATCTTTGACCTTGGACCTTGAAATTTATGTCAAGGTCAAAGGTCAGGGTCATTCCAAATATGAGAAATAAAGCTCTTTTTATAGCTCTTTTGTCTTTCAACATATACAGTATATCTTAACATCTTTAATATGTACTTTTAAAACTATTTCAAAGATTTCAATCTTGTCCCCTAAGCTTAACCCTTTTAAAAGTTATTGCCCCTTGTGTGAAAAACCTTGTTATCGCTACTCCTCTGAAACCGTAAACCGCAGAGACACGAAACCTTCACTGATCTATTCAGGGTCTTTAGACACAACTTCAAACTATTCAGTGCAAAAGTATCCGGTGACCCCTTATATGAGTTATCGCCCATTAACGTCTTTGCGCTTACTGTTAAACCTTCTAACTTTAAAACTAAAGGTTGTAGAAGCATGGGGTTAAGTGCAATGTGACCCTTGATTGTTGACCTTGAATATTTGTTCAAGGTCAAAGGTCAAGGTCATTCAAAATATTTAAAAATTTTCATTTTTTCTATCTTTCAAGCCATTTATGGATTCTTTTTGTATAAAAATTAACTCCAGAGAGTAAAAAAAAGAAATATATATGAAATTTAAAGAAGGTGGAAAGACCTCTAATTGTTCGAGAACAATTAGTCTACTAGTTAGGTCTTTCCACCTTTCTGTGGAAAGACCTATTGATATTCTTCTGTTTATTATTATTATTATTATTATTATTATTATTATTATTATTATTTTTCCACCCCCTGATGTGATTCTATGTTTCAAGATATATCGAAAAGATTTATAGTCTATAAGAATGTACTCTTTAAAAGATTGTTACAGTTGACCCTGCGTATATGAACTTTGACCCCTTTAAGAGTTATTACCCCTTTTGCAATAAAAGCTTGTTATCGCTACTCCTTCGAAACCATACACCGTAGAGGTACGAAACCTTCACCAATGTCTTCGACTAATTGAGGAGATTCTTCAATCTTTTCATTGCGAAAGTATTCGTGGACCCTTTTTATGAGTTATTGCCCCTGAAAATTTTTTAAGGTTACAAATAATATTTTTTTTTCAAAACGATAAGTCGTAGAGACATGAAACCAACTGGATAAGATTCTTTGACCCCAGACCTTGAAATTTATGTCAAGGTCAAAGGTCAAGGTCATTCAAAATATGAGAAATTAAGCTATTTTTATATCTCTTTTGTCTTTCAACATACACTAAATATCTTTGCATCATTAAT